TTCTCTTCTAGCTATTTTGAAATGTACAACAGATGACTATTGTTGTCACCCTACCGATCTATCAAACACTAGTTCTTATTTCTTCTATTTAACTGTATAATTGTACCCATTAATCAATCAGAGAGGCCTTTCTTGACCATCCTAAGCTTTATTTCACTCTCAATCCCCAGTTCTTATGCTAATACTCTTAAAATTTTTGTTTATAGTACTTATTACTATGCAAATAAGGACTGCAGATGCATTTTGTTTGGTCACAGCATTGTTGTAATTATCATTATTTTAGAGGAAGGCCTTCAGTAAGGCATCTATTCCTCACTTGCACAGGATCGGCCACTCCCTACTGCCTGACACAGGTCCTAGAGACAGTCACATGATCTGCCCAGCCCTAGAAGACATTGTGTTTCCCACTCTGCTTGGGGTAGAAAGTGCAAAAACACACATACAAATATGTTTCCAAGTACTAGGCATGAAAGAAGTCATTGGGAAGATTCAAAATAAGCTTATCGGCTTAAACATTTTAAAAGCTTATGAGTATTTAAAGATGATCTTCAAAGTGAAAATACAAAATTAAAAACTTCAAGAGAGAAAATGGTAAACTCTTGAGAATTCACCCACAGAGCCTCCCCTGAGAAGCTCTGCTGTCGTCTTCTTTCTCCCAACATCAACAGCGCCTCCTTTATGTGTCTGAGTCAGATTCCCTGAGTCAGGACTATCTGACACTTTTTAATGGGAGGAGAGCCATATTTATAGCTAATGAATAAAATATTAGCCAACTCTGCTAAGTACTGACAGAGACCAGTGCTGATTGCTGCCCTGGGACTAACCTGCTTTGCTCACACAAATAGGGGCTGCTTATTCAAGAGGGATGCCAGCCAGCTTGGTTTGCATAAAAGAGTGATGACAAAGAATAATCTCCAAAGAGCCATCTTGCTGTTGGGAACTAACGAGACATTAATATTTCAGAGGTAGCAACGGATGGAGAGGCCAAGGTTTACAGAAACTGAGACTCATTGAGTTTCTTTTGTGTGTTCCATGATTGGTACAATTTATCTCACGTGGCCTTGATGAGAATAAATCAAATAATATTACTGTGCCCACTTTACAGATGTTTCTATCAAAGATCTGAGCTGTTAAATGACTTGTCTAAGGCCTGGAAGCGGGGATTAAATCTATGCCAATATGACTTCAGAATCTGTACTTATTCCTTTACACAATGCCACCTCTCATATTTTATACACAATATAAAGAGGTCCGGAAATGAAAGATGGCTATTGTAGGTGTGCTGGGTTAAGATGATTAAAATATGTATACATAGAAATACAGCTAGAACACAAAGAAAGACTCCTGTTTTATATATTATGGTTGAAAATAATGAGAGTTTTTATTTAGAGAAGCATGTAGTCCCTAGATGTTTTAAGAATTCTCACATAAAGAAGGGGTAAAGGTGATGTCTGCTGTACCAAAAAGTAGATCTTAGACAGTTGGTTGAGAGTTTGGGTAGGGAGGCCAATGTTTTTTCCAGATCAACTTGAAGGACTTTGAAATAAATAAATAAATAAATAAATAAATGTGTGTGCGTGTACGTGTGTGTGTGCATGTTATTTTATTTTGTATACTGCTATATTTGCAATGTATGTAGGTGTTTGGCCCATAGTGGATGCTCAATAAATACATGTTGAATGAATAGAATTGGCTCTGACAAAGAAAAATATAAGGCTCTCCAGGTGTGGAGCTCCTTATCAATGAATTTTTGAAGAGACTAAAGTTCTGAGCAAAGACTCTTGCCTTGCTGGGAGGTTATATAATAGCTAAGCAAGGCTTATTGAACACTCTCTAGATGCTAGGCACAGCCCTAAACACTTTAAGGTCATTATTTTATTTACTGTCAATGCAGTGGTATGAATTAGGTAACAACATCATCATCATTTCAGAAAAGTAGAAACTGAGTAGATCTTAGGATGTAGATCTTTAAGATGATGAAACTATGTATCCGAAGAAACACAGCTAGAACACAAAGACTCCTGTTTTATATATCGTGATTGAAAATAATGAGAGTTTTAACTTAGAGAATAATGTAGTACTTAGATGTTGTAAAAATTTTGCAAAAGTTTTTTTGTTTTAAGCTTTGCAGAAGTTAAGGCATGTTCCCGAGTTTACATAGGTGTTAAGTTCTAGGGCTTGGATCAAAACCCAGGCTTTCATTAGCTTTGTGCTATGTGGCTTGGCTGCATCAGATAATCAGCACATACCCTAGTAATGAGAGCCTACATATACTATTTCTAATCTAATATCTGAATGGAAGATTAATACCATGAACATGGAAGACATTTTTCTCAAACAAGTGCCAGGTTCCATGGAAGTTATAGCTAAAGCTACTGCACATTATGGCATTTACTTGTTCAAACTAACTTACCGTTGGCAAGATAAGCTCCAAACTTTTTACCGTGGCACTTAATGCATTGTAGGATCCAACCTCATCTCTTGTTTGTATATATTAGAATATTTTTGTCTGTTTATTTCCTTCTCTTTAGAGTCTCCTTTTGTCTGTTTATTTAATTCTCAACCTCCTTGCTTTCAAACATGTTCTATTTATTTGTTATAGAATAAAAATCCATTGGTCTGTCTGTTTGTCCATCTGCCCATTCAACCATCCACCCATCAACTACATCGCAAATCAACTACATGTCAGAACAGTGGTTCTATCAGGGAACAATACCCCGCCTCACCACTTTATAGTCTCACAAAAGGGAATACATAAGTAAACCCACCTAATCCTACCTATTATGCAGGATACAGCTCCAGTTCTTTCATCTTTCACAGTTTTTCTAAGTTTTCTGGCCCTTCTTTATCTCTTTTGTCTTTCACTTTTTCAGCACTATGGCCCACATCATAATCACTGTTTAGTGAAACCTCATTTCAGAGCGAGGTTAGGTTCCAAAATCAGTGGGAAAGGACAGAACAGTCAAAATGGACCCTGTAAATCCCTTAGGAAGATGGTAGGTACCACGTGGAGACTGACCAATGGGCCATCACAGCAAGTTTGTCCTGCATGTTGAAACAGATTACTGTTTCTTTGATTTAAATGCCAGAGAAGGGGTCGGCTTAGATTAGAACCAATCCATAGGAAAAACAAGTATCTAGTTAAACACAACAGTCACCTTACACTCATAATCCTACTGAGATGCTCACAGCATGAAAGAACCAAGAGCGACTGAGAGCACAGCAGAGGTACATTTTCCCTTTAAACTATCATACCGGGACTACGTTCATTGAGTAAATGGCGCAAACCATTGCCTGAGCTATTTAGATTATTTCCTGTCTTTCACATAAATGCAGAGAGAACACTTCTCCACTGACCTTTCTTGTGATGTCATTTATTTCTTTCAAAGGAACGACTAACCCAGGACTTCCCAGAGTACATAAATTGTGTCTAACACCACACCATCAGTTCCTTGTTGAACAAGATTGTCTTATCAATTTCCTGTTGTACGAGATCCTCTGAGATATGGTTCCTGTTTACCTCTACATTCCCATGTCTATACCGTTTCTATACACACAAATTAGACGTGCTGCCTCTACCTACAGTGTCTCTTTCCATGCTCTGCTGCAAATGTGCATCTTCAATACTCATTTCAGATGTTTCCTCTTCAGGGATAGGTTGATTGGATCAATACCTCATTCTTCACTCCTTCCTGCATCCCTGCCCTTTGCCAGGAAACTTTCAGCACCCTCCCACTCTGGTTCTGGGCTTGGCCACATTACTTGCTTAGACCAATAAGATGTTAGCAACTGTGACACAGCAAGGGCTTGCAAAGTGCTTTGTGATTCGGCTTGTCTTGCTTTTAGCAGCAACTGTAAGAAGAGTGTCCCTGCACTAGCTTGCTTGATGAGGAGAGACAGATGGTGCCAAGTCAAGGTGCCCAGCCATCCCAGTCAATGCAATCCTAGATCAGCCAACTGTAAGCTTCCCCGCAATGTGTGAGCCACCTCAGCCAATATCAGCAAACTTGCCTACATAGCCTGCAGTCGACTGCAAACATATGAGCAACCCCAGCTGACCCCAGCCCAGATCAGCTGCACCCCACAGACTCATGTATGCAATGAAAGTTTTATTGTTAGCATGTAGCATTACTCTAGCAATGGAGAACTGATGCTTCTGTAAAGACTTCCCTGACCCAAGGAAACGTAACAACTTCCTCCCTTGTGCAATCTCTGAATCTTATCCTTTCCTTATTACAAAACTTACCACACTTTTCCGTCATAAACATTTGATAAAGGAATAAATCATATGATTATTTGTTGTTAAGTCTGGCTTTCCTTCTAAAATGAACCTTTTTAAGAATAGGAACATCTTTGTGAGGGAGGTGAGGTATATAATCAATGAAGCTATGGCACATCTGGGTTGGAATCATGGCTCAGCAAGTGGCAAACTTTCTGAGCCCAAGTGTCTGGAGCTATAAAATGTATGGCAGCAGCAACTGTGCACCCCTCTTGAGGCAACAAAATGAGAAATCTGTATAAAATAGCCAGCTGAGTGCCTGACACATCAAAGGTCTCAATAGATATTATTTGGTTAAGTGAGTTAATGAACTGATATTTCTATGGCAAAATTCTTAGAAGAAGTGCACCAAAAATAGAACATTCTTTATCCCATTGCTGATTCCTAACATCACTCCAGCTGCCCAGAGCATTCTTTAGCCTCTAATTCGATTTATGACCATGAAGGCTGATGTTTCCATTTACTAAACCCAACTGTATAATAAAAAAAAAGTACCTCTGAGGACTATCTTTGCAACTTAATGTCAGCACATAGTTAAATGCAATTTATTTAATCTTTCATTTACAACAAAAGTTGCAGTTTATTGCTTATAAATTCACTCTTTCTGAAACCCTTCTGAGAAATACAGATTCTTGGCTTGTGCTAATTGCCTGCTGTGGGGCAGGATAAGTACCCTCTGTGATGGGCTATGTTCCTATACAACTAACGAACATGTACTCACCTCTCTGAAGGCAGGGAGTCCTCTTCCACAGTCACTGCAAGAGAAAGAGGCAGAGTGAAAAACAGGAGTGTGCAGCAGCCTGGTTACAGTGAATGATGCTTGTGCGATGACTTGACCCTATAGATAATGTGAAGAGTGGAAGCTTGCCTGTGCCCCAAACACCCTTTCCCTCCACCCCAGCACTAGGGGATGCCTGTCCTTCCATTGCAGCACTCACCCACATTTTATGGTATAATTTCTTACTTATGGGTACAATCTCTTGCGTTAGACTTTGACCTCCTTAAAGACCAGAACCCCAGTGGGGTTTATCTCTTAATCTCTCATTTCTGTCACAGGACCTGGTACAGAGATGATAGCTGCTCAATGTTTCCTTGAAATAACACTGAACATTTACAGAGCACTTCCTGGTATGCCAAGCACTGTTTAAGCTCTTTCCAGGCATCATGTCTCATTATCCACACAATAATCCTAGCAAATCAGTGGTATCCCCATTTTACAGATAAAGAAAATTATTCCCATTTTATAGATAAGGAAAATGAGTCTCAGTGATTAGCACACCCAAACTTAAATAGCTAGTGAGTGCAGGAGCTGGGATCTACAAAGTCCATTTTATCACAAAAGACTTAGCACTTTGTTCTATGTTATCTGATTAATCTTCTCCTCATTCAGAGAGATTATTGGAGGCCTGAATTAGTTAATGTATATAGAAATCACAATTATCCTTCTTTGATTTGGACATGGCCATATCAGTAAAATATACTAAGAGCCTATCTCCCCATATAGAATTTTCTTCTCAAAAATGTGGTCCCTGGACCAGCAGCATTAGCACCCCATGGGAACTTGTTAAAAGGCAAATTATCAGGCTCCAACTCAGACCAACTGAACCAGAAACTCTGAGACTGGGGCCCAGCAATCTGTGTTTTAATAAGTCCTCTAGGTGATTTTGATATACGCTCAAGTTTGAGGATCATGAAGTTAGAGTAATTTAACCATAAAGTTGCCTGAAGCAGTTAAAATGAACAAAGACTGCATTAGCTCTCTCAGTGTACCTACCATCTGCTGGTGCTGATGGCCGCAGTAAAGCAAATGTTAGCTCAGCAGTACGTTTTGTCCCAAAGTGTATGTTCACCTTGTGTTTCATTAGAGCAAACGTAAGCTAAGGCATTGAAAATGTCAACAAGATCAGATTGTGGTAGGAGTGGTGAGGGATGAGAGGTGTTCCTTTAAATAGTAGAAGAAGACACAAAATAGCACAGAAAAATGGCTTCCAAGGATGTTTCAGTTTCTGGAAGGGATCAGAGGGTTTGGGGTTGCAGGCTTTCAATTAATTACAGATCACAGAGGCCTAAGGGGGGCCCACCTAAGGATCTCAGGTCAAGTTCACACTGACTTTCTCCCTTTTCACTCCCTCCCCACTTCTCCTGCACCAATTGTATTGACAACACAGGTTTGTGGGAAACACAAAGGTTTAATGCCTCCCTGCTCAGCAACTTTTTGTTTTCTTCCTGTTGGACAGATTCCCGGTGATCAAATGCTTTGCTCTCAGGGGAAGTGGGCTGGTCCAGGAGCAATAAGCAGCCAATTCCCACAGAGATTTCCTTTCATGGGCAAGCTGCCACAGCCTCTGCATGAGAGTAAGCAGTGATGGATGTCCAGCCTCATGGAAAAGCAGCAGCGTCATTGTCACCTGGGAGAAGATGTGGAGACAGAAGTGACTCCTGATAGGCCCTATGGAGGGCCCTGTGCGGTTCCTTACCTTCCCTTGGAGTCTTGGGAACAGCAACTGGCTGCCTCTGAAAGGCCTGGAGGTTCACGATGGGAGGCCTTGAAGGCTTTTGGGGAGGAGGACCCACAGAGTCGATGGACGGCAGTGGCTTCATTTTGGGAAGGTGGTGATGCCTGACATCTGGCTGTTTTCCTGAACACAGACAGTAAAAAAATTTAGTTCTGATTATTTCCACTTCATACCTTGTTGGGTAAAACTGGTTTCCTTGCCTCCATCTCAGTCCCCTTCAATCTATTCTCCACCAACAGCCAGGGTGCCCTGATCAATAACTAAACCTGATCAGTTGCCATGCTGCTGTTTTAAGGATTTTCTCAGCATGACATTGGTCACTCCATCTCTGCCATTTCTACATCACACGGCCCCCATCTGTGTTTCTAAATTCTTTGCTTGGCATATTATATGCCTTACTTCCCCTCACTTACAACACAAAGATTTTTCACATGCATCACTGGATTCTCCACCAGATTTAGTTTAGATAGCCTTCAAAACTCTTATATATCCAAAATTTTGTTCATGTTTTTCTTGGTTCTGGAACACCACTATTCCTTTTCTTGGCAAATTTCAATTCATTATTTTAAGGCTCTGCTCCAATGACACCCCTTCTCTAGAAAGTTTTTCTTGATTTCTCACAGGCATCAAGGCCAAAATCAACATCTGATTTGTATCTCTGTAACACATTGTTAATACCCGTACATCAATATGGCGCATTGGAGGCACTGGTCTCTGTTCCCATTAAGCTTGGGTTCCTATGGGTGGGGATGATGTCCTACAGATCCCCCAGCACCAAACATGGCCTACCTCACAGGAGAGAAACTGTGACTATTAACTGAAAGGATTCTTCAAGAATTTATGACATGCAAGTAATACCAATTCTACAAAGAGGAATAAGAACTGATCTGGGATTTCTAGGGCTCACAGCCTAGGACTGGCTTCAAGGCTGATTTTGTGATGTCTGGGCACCTCTGTCCTGGAGTTTTCCAGGAAAGTTCGAATTTTATATATATTTATTCTCTGCACTCTTAAATCCAACTCCAACAGAAAGTCCAATATTATATATGACAATCAGATTTGCCCTTTACACTGAAAATAGCACAAAATCTTACATAATTCAACTGTCTTGATTTTTGATTTACATAAGACCGTAGTTGACGACATGGGCCATTCTTGCTAAAATTTAAGAAGTGGCCTAGCATTTTGCATATACCCCTGGGAGACTTCCCGTGCTCTCCTCCATAAGCTGGAAGGGAGGGAAAGCTTCCTTATTGCTACATCCACAGGGGGTTACAGCTTCAGAAACCCAGGCCCAAAGTTCCTCTCTTCTTAGGCTTTAATTACAAGTCATGTTGTCAAAAACCAGTTGTTATCAAATTAGGAAAAAGACATAGTGAATATTATCGCTTACTAATTGGGCTCCTAGTTTTTACTAGACACTGTGCTAAGCAGTTAACATAACTTATCTCATTTAACTCTCTCAATAGCTCATTTCAGAAGGTTGGTAGATAATCCATCCTTCTTTCCTTTCTCGTATTCACCCTTCTTCCCATACGTCTTTCTTCCCATGTGTCTTTTCTTCTTCATCCCTTCATCCATAACTATTTATTTACTATATTCCAGGCATTGTTCTAGGAGGTGGAGATAGAGTTGAGAACAAGAACAGATACAGTCTTACCTTCAGAAATTTTTATTCTAATAACAAGAGACTGATGGTAAACAAGTAGAAAAACAAACAAGATCATTACAGAGATCTATTTGTTCTATGAAGGAAATAAGGTACTATGCAAGTGTGAACTCTTGCTGCTGAGGCAGTACCCTTTATATAGAGAGGATAGAGAAAGCTGAACTTGGAAACTTTTATTTGAACTTAGATCCCAATGCAGCTACGAAAGCTTAAAGTAACAAGTTTTTGAGGAAGAGGGGGTGGCAAGCGCAAAGGCCCTTTACAAAATCTGTTTAAGGAACAGCAAGAAACCTAGTGTGTTGACTATGGGCAGAGAGCTAGGGGAAGACAGGTAGGAGATAAGTCGGACACGTCACAGGGACCAGCACACAGGGCCATGAAGACCACCAGGCAAGTAGCTTGGATTCTATTCTAAGTACAAAAAGAAACCATACAAGGTTGTAAGGAGGCGATCCATCCATCCACCCTTCCATCCACTTAATCAATTGTTCAACAAATTTTTTTTGAGGACTCACTCAATCTGGTCTTCTTATTCTAGGTGCTAGGGATATGGTAGCAAAACATTAGTCCTTATCTTTTTTTTTTCTTTTCTTTTTTTTTTTTTTTTTTTAGACAGGGTCTCGCTCTGTTGCCCAGGCTGAAGTGAAGTGGTGTAATTTCAACTCACTACAACCTCTGCCACCCAGGCTCATGCAATTCTCCTGTCTCAGCCTCCCAAGTAGCTAGGATTATAGGCACAGGCCACCATGCCCCGCTAATTTTGTATTTTTAATAGAAATGGGGTTTCGCCATGTTGGCCAGGCTGGTCTTGAATTCCTGGCCTGAAGTGATCTTCCTACCTTGACCTCCCAAAATGTTGGGATTACAGGCATGAGCCACCGTGCCCAGCCAGTCCTTATCCTTTTTATAACTTACATAATACTGAGGTGAACCAAGAGCTTGGTGGCAAAACCAACAGCTTGCTGATAGATTCAATGTGAAGAATGAGGGAGGAGAAGGGAAACAGAGCATGGCTCCTAAGTTTTGGCCTGAGAAACCATGAGGATAATTGTGTTGTTTACCAAGATAGACAACTGGTGACAGATTTGAGTTATAAAGAGAACACTCAGGCTCTAATGAGTTACATTACATAGATTGCCTGAATTCATGCAGCTTGTAAGAAGCAGAGGTAGGATTCAAATCCAGGTTTTCCAAAAACTATCTCACAATGTAATTCCAGAAGATTAAGCACTTTACCCAAACCCAAGATTTCAATTTAGCAGATGGGCCTAGAATATAGGATATCACACTGAGAGTTTGGAGCAATGTTGCTCATGTCACATACATAACCACTCTGAGTCAACAGGTTTTAAAGTAGGAAAACATGACGACCCCTCCCTAGCCCCTGTCCCATGGGGATCACGTTTGTTACCTGGGGCCTGGCTGGCAAGCTCACACTCATAGATAGGCTGGCAGGTGCTGCTTGCTGGGCTCCTCTCAGGATGTGGGTTTTCCCAGCTCTTCCTGATATGTTGAGAAATTAGAAAACAGGGATCTTCAGAGATGGTAAGTAATCTTTGGGGGGTCACCAAGTGCTTCTGGTAAGGAAGAGTCTGGGCTCCTTTTGTTTCCAGCTTTTTCCTGGGTTCCTCTGGAGAAAGCTTCATGCCTTTTTGTCCTTCCAGATGGAAGGACTTATTTCCACAGTTGGCAAGGAGAAGGGCTGATGACATTTCACTTTTCTGAGCTGAAACCTTCTCCCAGTTCCAGAGTTTGTTTCTGAAGCTACTGGCCACCATTACTTTTTCCTTAGTGGTTATCTCAACATTTGATTGAGTCACATCGAACAGCAGAGAAGCTTTCTGTGAACTTACTGCAGAAGATACAATGGACTTTCCTAGAGGCCCTAGGGAGTTAGAACATTTTGAAATTTCACTCTTCTGAGCCAACTTTATTTTCTGACGTTGAAGAGGCTGGGACTCACTACTGGAACAATATGGTGGAAGCTGCTTGTGGTTGGATGAGAGGGGTTTTCCATTGGTCAAAATTTGAGATGACTGTGTGCCTCCAATGTCACCCTTTGGAGAAACACCTGCTGGGAATTTAATAGGTCCTGGAAGAGGTGGAGCATCAAGATTTTGAAATTTGGCTCGAAGTTCCTTGAAGTTTATTACCCCTTCCTAAAGCAAAACAAAAAACAAAAAACGAAACAAAAACAAAACAAAACAAAAAACAAAAACAAAAAGCAAACAAACAAAAAACAAGTGTCTTATTATTCCAAGAAAAAAAACAATGTGATTAGCTGATCTTACTGTACCTGAGATCTCACTGATCTCACTGTGTTAAAGTGCTCTAGCTGTTGATATAAAATGCAACTGCTTACCTCATGGGCAATGTTAGCCAGCAATGCTGTTGTCTATATGAGATAGAATGAAAACACTGTTTCTTTCTTAAACACTTCAGGGATGTTTAATTTTCTCATAGCATATAAAGAACACCTATAGATAGTACTAAAAACAGCAAACTTTGATACAAACTTTTGAGGGCTCTCCACTGTCTATAAAAATAAATTCCAAACTGCTTTATACGGAATTCAAGGTTCTTCACAATGTTGTCCCAACAAGCTCAAAAGTTGGTGGAATTATGATCTCCAACCACAGCTAAACACGACTAACCTTAAACCAAACAGCACTACTTGTAATTTTCTTAGACCCTCCTACTCTCTATCACCTGGAGTTTGCTTTGTGTTCTTCCTTCACCAAACGCATCCCCATCAGCTTGTCATCACCTTTCTTGCAATTCACTGCCTACTTTGCCATCAATATTTCACCTAGGGAATGTAATTCAATATGCAAAAAAATAATAATTCCATTAAAAGTTGGGCAAAGGACACGAACAGAAAACCTAATACTGCATGTTCTCACAAGTATGAGCTAACCATTGAGTACACATGGACATAAAGATGGAAAGAAAAGGCACTGGAGACTACGAGGGGGTGAAGGAACATGGTGGGGGTAAAGGTTGAAAAATTACCTATCAGGTCCTATGCTCACTACCTAGGTGATAGAATCATTCATACACCAAACCTCAGTGACACACAGTTTACCCGTGTACAAGCATGTGCATGTACTTTCTGAACCTAAAATGAAAGCCAAAAAAAAAAAAAAAAAAAGCTTTCACCTGTGGATGACAGACATATCTAACTTCTTTCCTGTCTCCTTGGTACTTCCATAGCTTTTTCTATCTTGGCTGTTGAACTTAACATTATGGAGGGGAGAAAAGAACAAACTTTGGAGCTAGACAGACTTATGTTCATATTAAGACTCCACTCTTTCTCCTCTAGGAAAATATGTTGATCTTCCCTCCAAGTGCCTCATAAAAAATGAGTCATCAAACAGTAGAAGGATTAGAGCCATTATATGTGAAATGTCCATTACGGTGCCTGACACACAGTAGGTCCATGCTAAATAAAAAGTTCTTTATCAGAGGCCAGATAACTCTCTTGCATTTTTAACTCTCCTTGGGAAATGATCATGCTCTTCCCTCTAAATTCAGCTTCTATTCACTATATGAAAATTGTGGTTGTAATGGGAGCCCAGTCTTTGGGGCAGAGGAAGGAGCATGATGGGTTTATACAGGGAGCTGACTGGTGGTTGGGACAGGTAGGTGCAGGCTTAGCTCCTGCTCCATGTTCTTCCTGTTGCTCTTTTTTCCTCCCACCTAGACTGCATTAGATTTTTTTTTTTTTTTTTTTTTTTTTTTTGAGACGGAATCTTGCTCTGTCGCCAGGCTGGACACAGTGGTGTAGTCTCAGCTCACTGCAGCCTCTGCCTCCCGGGTTCAATCGATTCTTCTGCCTCAGCCTCCCTAGTAGCTGGGACCACAGGTGCATGCCAAACGCCTGGCTAATTTTTGTATTTTTAGTAGAGAAGGGGTTTCACCATGTTGGCCAGGATGGTCTCGATCTCTTGACCTCGTGATCTACCTGCCTCGGCCCCCCAAAGTGCTGGGATTACAGGCGTGAGCCACTTCGCCCAACCCGCATTAGATTTTATAAGTGTGTTTTGTCATCTTTTGCTTTTGCAAGAGGTAGGATAATGTCTAGTGGAGCCATTGCAAAAAATAAGAGCCATGTTCCTCTCCTGATCATCTTAAAGGTTTTTAATTTCATGTACACAGACCATCTCCATGGCAGTGACTTTTGATTTCGCCAGCTTAGGAAATGTTGGGCAACCTTTTCTCACTATATTTACAGTTGACTCACACCTGCCTTCTGAAGTTTTCGGAAGGGAGGGAAATTGAACAAGAAGCATGAAGCAAGTGTCTGGGAGCTTAAGTGCATGCATTCTCTCTCCTTTTTTATCTCTTTGTTCTGTCTCTCTCTCTCTCTCTCTCTCTCTCTCACACACACACACACACACACCCAGCAGACAAGTTAATTCAACTACACTTTCTCTCCCCTGACATAGCAGAAGCCAGCACTGGGCATGAAATCAGGGGATCTGAGTGTGAGACTCTGTTCGCCATTTTCCATTTATGTGCCTTGGGCAATTCACTTCACTTCCTTGAGCCTTATTTTCCTTGCTATAAAATGAAACATATTTCTGACAGCAGTTCAAGGTTATTGTAAGAATCAAATGAGATAACTGAATATACACACCTCCATGATAAATATTTTTAAAATTGTGGTAAAATACACATAAAACATGCCATCTTAACTGTTTCTAAGTGTAGAATTTGGTGGTGTTATGTAGATTCACATTGTTGTGCAGCCAATCTCCTGAACTCTTTTCATCTTGCAAAATAAACTCCATATCCATTAAACAATTCCATATTCTGCCCTCTCATTCTACACTCTGTCTCTGAATTTGACTATTCTAGGTATTGTATAGGAGGAATCATAAGGTATTTGTCTTTTTATAACTGTCTTATTTCCTTCCTTTTTAAGGCTAAATAATATATCATAGTGTATATATAACACATTCTGTTTATTCATTCATCCATCAATGGGTAGTTGGGTTGCTTCCATCTCTTAGCGATTATGAATGATGCTTCTATAAGCATAAGTGTACAGATATTTCATTGGGACCCTATGTTCAATTCTTTTGAGTGTGTTCCCAGAAGTGGAATTGCTGGATTATATGTTAATTCTATTTTTAATTTTTGAGGAATCTCCCTTCTGTTTTCCATAGCAACTGCACTATTTTACATTCTCACCAACAGTGTACAGGTATTCCAGTTTCTCCACATCTTCACCAACACTTGTTTTTACAATAGCCATCCTAATGGGTATGATTTTGTCAGTGGTTAATATTTTTAAATTAATACAATGATTATTTTCAGTTCTTCACTATCTGAAGTCACATGGACTACTACCATACAATGTTATTGCTTAGTAGATTTTAGTCTCTGTAGGATTAATTAAGCAAAGCCCTATGAGATAGAATTATGGATTTGATAACCTCCAAACCAAGATCCTGTGCAAAGATCACTGGTTTGGGGGGAGCAAACCTGATTATACCTGGCTCTTTACTCTTTCAACACATGTTCATTAAGTATCTACATCCAGACCAAACATTGTTTTATACAGTCAAGGGCTCTGTTGTAATGTCAAGGAGAGGCAGGAAATAAGCAATTACACAAGAAAATATTAGACACAAAGTGCTATGTGGAGAATTAAATGGATTATGCAATAGTGACTCAGTGCCTACCACCAATTTTCAGAGCTACAGTAGAAAAGTAATTTCTTCTCTCTAGCTCAGTCTTACCTCAAATTAGAGGTTGATCTGGGTGGTCTCCGAAACCCCTTCTGGCTCTAATATTTAGATTTTATTTTCCTTACAACCAAAGGGAAATAGATGTGATGTATTTTGTTTTTTATTATTCATCAGCCATAGGTGGAAGTTCAGGTGTGAGGACATGAGGAAAACTACATGAAGATGGTTTGGAAGGTGGCCATGGGGTCCTTCTGGTTAAAACCGTGTTTCACTTTTCAGCTGCCACCCCTAGTCAGTCCCCAGATCCCATTGATCTGGACTCTTAAGCAGCCCATGAACCCCTCTTATTCTTCCTCACTTACTGCTTGGAATGAGTTCTTCATGGTCTCTGCTTCCACTCTTAGCCCCTCTAATCCCCCATTTACTCAGCTGTTAGACAAACTTCTTTAAAAACAAATCTGATCATACAAGTCCCTTACGTGCTTTAAAACCTTCAATTTGGCATCCCCAAAGCTTTCAAATAAGCTCAAACTCTTGATTCGCATATAAGACTCCCCCTAATCCCAACCCTCTTAATGCTCCAACATCACACTGGGGCTTCCCCCAGCACGCTTTCTTCCATATAGCCTCACCAAATTGCTGACATTCTTCCAAACCTGTTTTGCCCTTTCATGTAGCTGTAATTTTGAATGTGCTGTCTCCAATGCTCATCTTTCTAATTTCTTCAACTAGCAAATTCCTGCTTGTTCAAACTTAAACTTGTGTCATCTCAAAATATTTATTGATTTCCTACTATGTGCTAGATACTAGGGTTATGAAGATGAATGAGGAATCCGACCTTTCAGAACTCAAAAAATGAAGGAGACAGACACAAACTGGTTGTTTTAACATAATACAGGGACTTATTAAATATATAGCACAAAGTCTGTGGAGGGAACATAGAAAAGGGGCTTATGATGCAAATCTGGTTGCCAAGCAGGTTTGCTGGAGGGGATTTCCCAGCTTAAACAGTCAGCCAAGCAAAGAACAGAGGAAGGCAGTCCAGAGCGTGAACACAGAAGGCACAGCCTTGGGAACAGCATGACATATAGGGGAAGCAGCGGCAATTCCACGTAACTGAAGACCCAGTGTGCAGTTATGTGAGCCTGGGGAAGCAAGGAGAGGCCAAGTCTTAATGTCATTGGGCTTAATCTTCAGAGTCAGTGAGGCGCTACTGATGAGTTTCCTGGTGAGCAGCTAAAGGCAATTTCTAACTGATTCCTCTTTCATGATCACTCTATGTAAAGCAGCATCTCTCCTTCACTCTCTAACTACCTTACCCTAGGTATAGACTGGCTCATCCAACCCTTTCTAGTGAGCCTTCCCCTAGCACAGAGCCTGGAAAGCTTGGAACTACCACTCCCTGCCACTCTTTCAGCTGGAATTCTGCCCGACAGAGGTGTCCATGGCTTGAGAAATGAGCC